ATCATTGAGGATGATGATGTTAATGCCAAGGATGAGATGTTTGTGTGAAGTGGAGGATGATAGGATTCCAGGCCTTGTTGGGTTTCCTTCTGCCAGTAGATTGAATGATCATCATCGTCATCATCCATGCCTCCAACCTATATGGGGAGTGGATTGGATGATAGGATTCCAAAATTTATGTACTACAAAATGATTTCCCACAAACCAGGCTTCTTGAATTTGGAAAGGAATTTCTTGATGCAAGCTTTGGTTGCCAATAAAACTGGCCTCCTTAGCAGGGCTTCCATTGGGTGCCTTGTTCTTTCTAAAGGTTGCATCAAGACTTGGACCTTCCCCTCAGAACTCCATTTACTGGAAGAAGACTATGAAATATCATCAGAATTGTCCTAGGGGAAGAAACATAACTCTTTTATCATTATGTGGAGACAAATCACTGAACTTTCTCCCCTCTTGAGAACTACTTGAACCAATGTCTTCAACCTCATGAACCCATCAATTTTTTGGGCCAATGCTTGCAGTTGAGAGGGACCCAAGTGCAACGATAGGTCATACTCAACCACTATGTAAGAAGATCTCCAATACATCCATCTCCACAGCCTTTGGAGTAACTTACCACACTTCTGACTTGGTTTTGGGTGCCTCATGAGGCCGGATTGGCATGGCCTTGCGAGGCAAAAACAGTTCAGTCTCATGAGGTGGAATTAGTATAGCTTTGCAAAGCAAAATCAGTTTTCTTGCTAATTACAAAGTAAAATCAGTTCAACCTCACGATATAGGTCTTGGCTCGCGAGGTCGGATTAGTATGGCCTCGTGAAGTGAGGTCATTCTAGTCTTCCAAGGCTCAATTTGAAGGGCATCTTTTCCATATTTGATTATCGCTCTTGCGAGCAAGCTTTTCTTCAGCCTCGCAATGTTCCATTTCTCGATATGATGCGAGGCATCCATTTTGTTATTTACTAAAAGCCTCATCATGCACATCAATGCCCTTGAATGTATATTCACTGTCTCATAGTAGAGTTTGATACTCTTGTTCAAGTTGAGCATAGACAACAAACATGCCCAGCTTGCTTACATGATTCTGTAACTTAGACTTGGGAACTCCTTTAGTGAAGACTGATAGATGTTATTTAGAGGCAATAAAGGGTAGACAAACTTCTCCAGAGGCTACTTTGCTAGTATAAAATGCTATGTACCTCAATATGCTTTGTCATGTCATGTTGGACCAAATTATGGGCTATATTAATAGTTGCCTAATTATCATAGTATAACAACATGAGTTTAACATGAACAATGCCCAACTCACCCAGAAATGATCTAAGACATAACAATTCTAACACCCCATGGGCCATAGCCCTATACTGGACTTAAGTTGAAGAACCAACAAAGCAACAATAAGAGTGTCATGTCCAGAAGTAGATTTACTATCATCAATACAACCTGCCCATTTACTGTATGCTTTTATCCTCCTGTGCCTATGATTAGCAAACAAAATACCTTTTTCTAGAGTTCCCTTCAAGTAGCAAAGGATTCTCTTAGTAGAAACTAAATGAGTGTCCTATCAATCAATTTCCAATTAACTAAGTGGTCCTTTTTTGCTTCCCTTGGTTCCCACAAAAAATCTCTCCTCCAAGCCTCCCTCTTCTTTCCTCCTACTAACCAATTTCCAATTAACTAAATAGCCCTTTTTTTTGCTTCCCCTGGTTCCAACAGAAAATCCCTCATTATCTTTTTTCAAATCTTAACACAATCTTGCAGGGGATTCTAAAAACTGGTAGGTAGTAAATGGGAAATTACTACAAGTGGATTTGATTAAAGTTATTTTGCTCCCTAGGGATATGTAATTTTTTCATCCACATAACCAATTTTCTAGAGAATATTTCTACTACTGGGCTCCAAAAAGCCAATGATTTAGGATCCCCCCATGAGACAGACCCAAGCATATAATAGGCCAATGAGCTAAGTCACATCCCATAATTTCTGCATACTTCCTTACCACCTCCTCCAAATTAATTCCCACGATAAAACTCTTGCCCAAATTAACTTTTAAATTGGTAATTCTCTCAAAGAATTGTAGAAGATGGAGATTCCTAACCCCTAGTTTCCCCATTATCTTGCCCAAAGATATTGGTGTCATCTGCAAAGAGCAAATGTGACACAACCACATGATTCCTCACTTCCCTCCATCCCTTTATTAAGCCCAAACTGTTAGCTTTTCCTATCAATCAGCTCAAGACAACAGCTATAATAGTGAATAATAAAGGTTAGCCTTCTTCTAGCTGGAAAAAATTCTTTAGCAGAGACGTTCACCAAAATGGGATAGTAATAGGTCTGAAAGCATCCTTTAATCCATTTTCTCCACCTCATTCCAAATCTGCAATTCTCTGAAGATAATTCTAAAAAAAAATCCAATCCACATAATCATGTCTTTTCCAAGTTGGTTTTGCACACCTAGGATCCAACTTTTTCTCTTTGCTCTTCTCATCTCCTCCACACTTTTATGAGCTATCAAAATTTGATCAGCTATTTGCCTCTCCTCAATGAAAGCTCCTTGATTTTGAGATATTATTGCTAGCAAGACCTTCTTTAATCTTAGGGAGAGCACCTTAGTGGTTATTTTATACATACTCCCAACTAAACTGATGGGCTGAAAGTCCTTAGGAGTCATTGCTTCAATTGATTTTGGGATGAGGGCCACAGACATGGCATTTGCTCCAATATTGATAGTTCCTCTTTCAAATAATTCCCCCAAACCCTCATTAAGTCTCCTTTTATCACTTCCCAGGCACTTTGAAAAAAACCCATTGTAAATCCATTAGGACCAGAAACTTTGGGTACATCTATCCAAAAAACCGTTTCCCTCACTTTTGATTCCTCGAAGTCTCTAGGAATACAGATAGATCCCTATCCAACACTGGCCATTTAAGGCTTTTTACTTTCTCTCTTGCTAGTGGGGATGTTCCATATAATCCTTTAAAGTGATCCACCATAATTCTTGCTATTTCCTCCTAATCAGTTACCTCTACCCTGTTTTTCATCAACCTTGTGATTATATTTTTCTTCTTGTTGTTGTTTGCTACTTGATGGAAAAATCTTGTATTCCTATCACCTTCCTTGATCCATTTATATCTTGACTTCTATCTCTAATGGATCTCTTCCTGAAAGTTTCTTCCAATTCCTTCTTTAATTCCTTTCAGACACATCCTCTTCACCTTCCTTTACATCCAATTCCTCAATTTGACTTAAAATTCTGGATTTCTCCGCGTCTAGATAACTGAAGACCTCCTTGTTCCATGCTCTCAAAGCCGCCTTGGTCCTCTGAAGTTTCTTCAATAACCTAAAACCTTTCCATTTGCCTCTAATGTCCTCCTCCCACCAAGACTTCAGGCTAGAGATGAATGAAGGATGGGTAAGCCACATGTTTCAACCTTAGAAGGTTTAGGTGCCATAGAAAGGGTTTCATGGGTCTTGGTAGGGCAATACTCAATAGGTTGCTCCAATGATGCTCCCACTCCATAGAAAACAGAAACCTATCAAGTTTGGAACAGGTGGGGTTATCTCAAAAATTGGACCAAGTAAACCTAGCATGCCTAAGGGACAGGGTCTCTCAAAGCATGATTATTAATAAATGAGTTAAATTTTCTCACGCTTTTCGGGATGGATTGATTGGGATTATAGCTCTCTTGAGAGAATCTTATGATGTTGAAATCCCCCCCCCAGTAACCATTGATTTGTTTCTTTAGAACTGCAAGAAAATACAAATCTAAATACCCAATGAGAAGGAAAGAAATAAAGCAGCAGCTCAAAGAAAGACCTGTAATTTAGCTTCATCACAATAAGCATCAATGAATGGATAATCAACACATATTCCCATCAATGAAAGGCAGAATCAAGAATCAGCATTCTTGAATTTTTTTAACAATAATCAACATTCATGAATCAAGGCCTACATCTCATAATACATGATTAATCAAAACAATGAAGAAGTTAAATGTAGTGACCTAGAGGTTTAATGTAAAGGGTAGTTTAGTCCTTTTCTCTCATGGTCTTTCTATAATGCCAACTGCCAAGGAGTTGCTTCTATTTTTTTGAGCTATCTGATCAGTCTATAATCACTTTTCCCTTCTAGGTTTCTGTAATTAAGTGTTATTGTCAATTTATTCCTTGCAATGTTGCTACGGTCTCAGCTTTTGTAGAGTCCCCATGATCAATTGGGTCGGAATTTTAAGTCCGGCCCATTCTAATCCATTAAAATCTCTCCTATTCCTTGCTGGTCTGAATTTCAAGTATGAAAAATTGGTATCAGATTTTAGGCAAAAAGAAGTTTCCTAGGTTGAGTAAGGTCTACACTGGTAAAAAGTTAAGAATGGAAGAGTGCCATGAAAGGTTCTAGTGATTAATCTAAGCCAGTCTCATCTAGTGGTTCTTCTGGTAATGATCCTAAGGGGAGTATGAAGAAAAGTGATCTAGCTGAAATGAAAAAGACAATATGAAATATTGTAATAAACCAAGGCATGCCAAAGAAGCGTGTTAACATGGACGTCCAAGATTGACCAAGTTCAAGAAGGGCTAGCAACAAAGGAAGCTATATGTCAGTTGATTTAGCCAAATCCAGCACAATCTCATTATTGAGTTGTAAACCTCAGGTTGAAGATTGGGCTGGGTTAGGATTAAGGTTGAAGTTTTAACACATTGGGTTGGGCTAAAGTTGATCTCAACCTAAGCCAATCTAAACTGATTAATTTGATGCCAAAAATGTTTATATGATTAATTTGATGAACAGAAACATTTAGTCCAAGAAAATTACCATAAATAATTGTTGCAGTCTCATGACCTTAAATTGACAATGCAAAAGTACAGAATAATTAAAAGAAGTTCAGTTCAGACTTTAGAGTGATGTAGAAAGCAAGTGCTTTTCAATATAGGTATCCACTGGCACTAGGAAAGACATTAACTCCAAATTTGTTTATCAATGATTTCAAAATGTACAGCTTTCAACTTACAATTTGAGAACCAGAGCCATAAATTGGCATTGATAAGGTGGAATTCATACTTTGAGCTTCAAAATCCCAACTAGGAACATAAAGCCCATATAATAAGCCCATGTACAACGAGCATAGTAAGATAGCAACCAACCTTGACAGACAATGAGACAAGCCAAAATTAGTACTCCATAACATTAAATAAAATATTTAATAGAATGGTCCAATTATTAAGATTACTAGAAAAAGTTCTATATATACATAGAATAGATTCACTAGACCACCCTTAACTCTTACATGCCTTCATTAAATTGTGCAACTAAAATTTGTATTAGAACTGAGCTTTCTTACCGCTAAAATAACTAAATAAATAGTTCAAGTTCACTCATTAACTCAATTAAAAATATACCTACGAAAATAAAAGTTCATTCTTCTTGCTTCAATTTCTTAATTCTTAAGTTATTGAAAACATATGATAAAAACAGTTAAGTTCAGGAATCATAGAAATACCTTTTTTATTTTTATTTTTTTGGTGAAGAAAGGTAAAGATCAGAATCAACTGCCAAATGGCAGTCCAATAACAACCTAGACTATAAATTAGTTTTAAGAATTTGTATATATGTATAACCTTTCAAGTGCAAAAACAGACGGAACAAACATTACTTGACCATAACAAATGAGAATTCCCATACATATTACTTGAAAATGCCAATTAACATAAAGATCTTAATACATCAGTTCAGAATATTTTTCATAATTTCTGTATCTGAATTCCTAGAATATGTAGACTTGGAATATAAAAGACAAAATATTAAAAGAATAAGTGAGAAAGAGAATAAAATGGTAGAAGAAGAAAAGAAAGAAACTGATGTAAAGGAGAAGAGAAGAATATGCAGCCATTGGCTGCGTCTATTTTATTTAGGGCCATTACATAGACACCCATTGGGATAAGGCTTGGATGATGATGATGGTTTACATAGACACCCCCTATAGTTTTACATACTTACTAAAACCTACTCTAGTTTGCATACTACTAAGACACCCCTATGCCCCTTCACATTTTCTACTTGTTTTAAGAGGTCCCATGACCATTCCCAAATGAAAATACAAACATTTCCTGACGGAAGGTCAATTAAGTAAAGCAGTTGCGAACTATAGGGGTATTTTAGTAATACACAAACTGTAAGTTAGGTTTTAATAAATACATTAAACTATTGGGGGTGTCTAAGTAAATGACCCTTTTATTTATATGTCACATTACTAAAGCAGTAAAAACTATCATGCCCCTCATAAGTAAAAAGGAAACAAAACAGAAATACATCAAACTTAAATGTCAAAAATAGCTCCAGCAGTCAACAGTAGATTATAACATTTTTCTCTACTCTCCCTCTCAATCTGAGCAAAGATTCATTCCCAGATTGCACAATTTAACTTCAAATTGCTGTTTTGCAACAGCCTTGGTGAATATATCAGTTATTTGTTTATCTAATTTGACAAATGGTAAGCATACTTCTCCTCCAAGTAAACTTTTTCCTAATAAAATGGTGATCTACCTCAATATGCTTAGTCCAATCATGTTGCACTGACATAGGGGGTGCATACTTCCCCTTTGACAACCTTTTCTCTGATAAAAAGCCTGTCTACCTCAATGTTCTTGGTTCTATCATGCAGTACTGGGTTAGTAGCAATGTTTATGGCTGCCTTGTTGTCACAATATAAAGTCATAGGTCCATCAACCATAAATCTTAGCTCACTCAACAGATTTTTCAGCCACATTATTTCAGCCACTCCATGAGGCATTGCTCTATATTCAGCTTCAGCACTAGACCTAGCCACCACATTCTGCTTTTTGCTTCTCCATGTGACTAGGTTTCCTCCCACAAAGGTACAGTAGCCGCTGGTAGACTTCCCATCATCCAGTGATCCTACCCAATTTGCATCAGTATACACTTCAACCTTCAAATGTTTGTGCTTTTGGAACAATAAACCTGCACCAGGGAATTTCTTAAAATATCTAATAATTCTTTTAGTTGCTTCAAGGTAGGTGGTCTTAGGGGTATGCATGAATTGACTAAAAACACCCACTGCATAAGCAATGTCTGGCCGAGTTATGGAGAGATATAGCAATCTTCCTACAAGCCTCTGAAATTGTTTCACATCTTTAATGAATTCACCTGGACAATCACTTAATTTGTGATTAGCATCAATAGGAGAATCGACAGGTTTCACTCCCAATTTTCCTATATCTTGTAGCAGATCTAGGATATACTTTCTCTGAAAAATGAAGATACCCTTTTGTGAGCGGGCAATTTCAATTCCGAGGAAGTATTTCAAAGAACCTAGATCTTTCACTTCAAACTAAGTAGCAAGAAATCCCTTCAATCTTTGAATTTTATCTTTCCAATCACTAGTGATAATTATATCATCAACATACACTATTAGGGCTGCAATTTTCCCTTCCCCTCTTTTCACAAACAATGTATGATCAGATTGACATTGCTTGTAGCCTTTTTGTTGTACAGCTACTTGGAATATGCTGAACCAAGTTCTTGGTGATTGTTTCAGGCCATATAATGACTTTTTCAATGTACATACCTTTTGTTCATTACCTTGAGCCCGGAAACCATGGGGTTGTACCATGTACACTTCTTCTTCAAGATCACCATTTAGTAAGGCTGCAACTTGGGCCGGGTTGGCCTGAACCCAACACGAAAAAGTTGGGTTGGGTTGGGTCGAGTTGATGTTTGGGTTAGGGTTAGGGTTGAAATTCATGAACCTGACTTTACTTCGGGTTGGGTTATGGTTGACCCCTTAGCCAACCCGACCCAACCCGAACCCAACTCTATAATACATGTAATATATAAATATATGTTCTATGTAATATATAATATACATTGATTTGTTTAGATGCATGATATTTGTATAGCCCCCACCACATAGTATCATGTATTTCTTTTAAGATAATCACTTCACTTAATCCTAATCAGAAAGACTAAAGCCCTAATAACATTATTTTATATTTTTTCGAAAATTTTATTCTTCATCTCCTCTATGTTGTTTGCCACCCAAGAAAGATCTATCGTAAGTCATAACTCATAATAAACTATAGTCATTTCTAACACTTGTTTTTCTGAATTTTGTACCAAAAGAACAAAAAAAAAAACATCAACAAACAAATACTAATGAAATATAGGATTAATATATGTAGTGAAAGTTGAGTTAAGATCTAAAATTGAGAAATTCTATGAGGTTTTAAGGGATGGGAAGAAGGTTGGATTGAGCCCAACCCGAAATTGACTTCGGGTTGGGTTGGGTTAGGTTAGGGTTGAAGGAATTTAGTTAGGGTTAGGGTTAGGATTAGGGTTAGGTTGGTCAAGTTGAAGGTTAGGTTGGGTTAGGGTTAGGGAACTTAGGGTTGGGCTAGGGTTGGCCTCAACCCGACCTAACCTGGCCCAACTTGCAGCCCTGCCATTTAGAAATGCATTCTTGATATCCAGTTGGTGAAGGTCCTAATCGAAGTTAGTAGCTAAAGAGAAAAGAACCCTAATGGAGTTCATCTTAGCAATTGGTGCAAAAGTTTTTGCATAATCCATCCCATACACTTAAATGAACCCTTTTGCCACTAGACGAGTTTATACCTTTCCACTGTATCATTAGCCCTATGTTTCACTGTAAATACCCATTTACATCCAACTGGTTCTTTTCTCTCAAGAAGATCCACCAATTCCCATGTACCATTGTTATGTAATGCATTAATTTCTTCCTTCATTGCATCTGTCCATTCAAACACCGAGAGAGCTTCTGCCACATTCTTAGGAGTAGGAATAGGAACACTATCAATGGAAGAGAGGAATGACCGAAAGGAAGGTGAAATGTTTTCATAGGAAACAAAATGGGAAAAAGGGTGCTTAGTGGTGCAAGACCTAACACCCTTCTAATGAGCAATAGGAAGGTCAAGATCATCAGCACTGGAGGTATCAATAGCAATAGGGTCATAAATATCAATGGGAACTAAGGTACCTGGTTGGGTAGGATCTGTCCCCGAAGAATTTGATGGCATTGGTGGTACAACTTCTAGATTCTCCACATCTCTTGAACATGGCTGGCCTTTGTGACGACGACAAAAAATACAAAAGGGAGGAGGATCAGGTAGAGAAGGGAGCTGAATCTGAGGCAAAGGAGGATTTTGAACCTATTTATCCTCATGCCTACACTCCCCTTGAGGAGAAACAGGAAAGAAAGGTTCACTCTCAAAGAAGGAGACATCCAATAGAAACATGTTATTTTCGAGAGACGGGATTAAAGAACCGGCACCCCTTTTGATTTATAGGGTACCCCAAGAAGATGCAAGGAATAGCACAAGGATCCAATTTCCCACGAGGGGGTGACAGGTTTTAAACAAAGCAACGACAACCAAAAACACGGAAAGGAATAGACTAGAGGAGCCTTGGAAAACAGAAGCGGATGTGGGGCTTTGTACTCTAACCATCGAGAGGGCATGCGGTTAATGAGATAAGTAGCACAAAGGATAGCTTCAAGCCAAAAACGTTTGGGGACATTCATATGAATCAATAATCCTCGAGCTACTTCAAGAAGATGGTGGTTCTTTCCTTTAGCAACACCATTTTGTTGTGGTGTTCGGGCACAAAAGCTACGGTGGAGTGATCCACATGAAGCAAAGGACTCTGTGAGATCATTATGAAAGTATTCTTTGGCATTATCGGATTGGAAGATTTGGATTTCGGTTTGAAATTGGGTGAAAATCATTCTTTGGAAATCTTGGATAATTTTGGGTACTTCATCCCTAGTTCGCATGGGATATACCCATGTGTACCTGGAATAGTCATCAATAAAGGTAATAAAATACTTGTAGTCACTTTCAAATGGTAAGGTAACTGGGCCCTGAACATCAGAGTAAACAACATGAAAAGGAAATTCAGATTTATTATTCTTTGAAGAAAAATGAGTTCTACAATGTTTAATCAACTGACAAGTTTGACTTATCAACTCTGACACTAACATTGGCTTAAACAACTCTGGAAACACAATCCACCAGAAACAATAGACACTAACACTGACATATCAACTCTGACTCTTAGACTCTGTGATTGCAAGACCAGCCTTATTCTCCAACAAGTAGACACCATCCACCAT